TGGTGGTGAATTTTTATCTCTTCGTAGTTTTTTCTCTGATCATGGGGTGCTTTTACAAACTTCTTGTGTTTATACCCCCCAACAAAATGGCGTTGTTGAAAGAAAACATCGTCATCTTCTTGAAACCGCTCGCGCCCTTCGTTTTCAATCCCATCTTCCTATCAAGTTTTGGGGGGAATGTGTTCTTACCGCTACTTATCTCATCAATCGTCTCCCTACCCGTCTTCTCCATCATAAATCCCCATTTGAGGTTCTCTTTTCGAAAACCCCATCTTATGACCACTTCCGCGTCTTTGGTTGTCTGGCATATGCCACCTCTGTCACTCCCACCACCAAATTTTCCCCTCAGGCTCATCGTTGCATTTTTCTCGGTTATCCTCATGGACAAAAGGCCTATACCCTTTACGATCTCGACAATCACCGCATTTTCACTAGTCGAGACATCATCTTTCACGAAACTACTTTCCCTTATGTCGTTTCTCACCCTCCTATCCCATCCTCTTCGCCTACCCTACCCATCCCACCCCCTCTGGACTTTACATATAACCCACCCCTTCCTGCCTCGACGCCTCACCCTCCTCCACCTTCCTCCCCTTCCACGCCTCCCACAGATTCCCTTGCTGCCCCATTACCCGTTCCTCCCCATGCCCCTTTACCCACGGACATCCCTACCCCCCCCCCCCCCCAACTACCTACCAATCCTCCCCTTCCCCGCACCTCTTCCCGTGCCCATAAACCTCCATCCTATTTAAAAGACTACGTTTGCTCGCAGGTGATTCTGCCATCCCACCCATCTTCGACTTCGCAACCCGGTTCTACACAAGGTATGCGATATCCACTTTGTAATTTTCTCTCTTATCATCGTTACTATCCCAGGCATTTTTCTTACATTAACTCTATCAGTCGGACTGTGGAGCCTTCCTCCTTTGCCGAGGCTGCCACTGACCCCAATTGGCAACGTGCTATGACTGAGGAGCTTCAAGCTTTACATGCTAATGGTACTTGGACTTTAACTTCCTTGCCCCCTGGCAAAATTCCCATTGGTTGTAAGTGGGTCTACAAACTCAAGCACAATTCCGACGGCTCTATTGACCGCTACAAAGCTCGTTTGGTTGCTAAAGGCTTCACTCAGGCTGAAGGTATTGATTATCATGACACTTTTTCTCCTACTGCTAAGATGATTACGGTGCGTTGTCTTCTTGCTCTTGCTGCTAGTCAGTCTTGGTCTCTTCATCAGCTTGATGTTAATAATGCTTTCTTACATGGTGACTTACATGAAGAAATCTATATGTCTCCTCCTCCTGGTCTTCGGCGACAGGGGGAGAATCTTGTGTGTCGCCTTCACAAGTCACTTTATGGTCTTAAGCAGGCTTCTCGCCAATGGTTTGCCAAATTCACTAGTGCCATCATTTCTGCCGATTTTCAACAATCCAAAGCTGACTATTCATTGTTCACTAAAAAGTCTGGTATTTCTTTCACAGCTTTGCTCATTTATGTGGATGATATTGTGATTACAGGCAATGATGCTAGTGCCATTAATTCTCTGAAGTCTTTTCTCCGTGATCATTTTCGGATAAAAGACCTTGGTGATTTAAAATATTTTTTGGGTATTGAGGTTTTTCGTTCCAAACAAAGGATTTATATTTCTCAACGCAAGTATGCATTAGAGATTCTCAAGGACTATGGTTTTTTGGGAGCACGACCCATTGCTTTTCCTATGGATGACACAAAATTATCTGATAAAGGAGAACTTCTCAAGGATCCTGAAAAGTATCGACGATTAGTAGGTCGGTTAATATATCTCACTATCACTCGCCCGGATATCACCTATTATGTGCATGTTCTAAGCCGTTTTATGCACGAGCCAAGGATATCTCATATGGATGCTGCGCTTCGTATTGTTCGTTATTTGAAGGCTACTCCAGGTCAAGGTTTATTATTTCGTTCTGACAACCAGACCAAGTTAACTGCGTTTTGTGATTCTGATTGGGCAGGTTGCCCTATCACTCGCCGTTCGACTACTGGGTATTGTGTATTCTTGGGCGGTTCTTTGATTTCTTGGCGGACGAAACGACAGAAAACCGTTTCGCTCTCTTCAGCAGAGGCGGAATATAGGGCCATGGCAGGTGCTTGTTGTGAGATAGTTTGGCTTCGTTTTTTGTTGAAGGATTTGAACATTCCTTTGGATGGTCCTTCCATTTTATTTTGTGATAATCAAGCAGCGTTACATATAGCTGCCAATCCTGTTTTTCATGAACGAACTCGTCACATTGAAATGGATTGTCACTTTATACGAGATAAGATTGTAGATGGCACAATAGAGACCAAGCATGTGGGTACGGCACAACAGTTAGCATACTTGTTTACCAAACCTCTTGGGAAAGAAAAGTTTTCGGGTATATTACGCAAGTTGGGAGTTCTTGACATCCACTCTCCAACTTGAGGGGGAGTGTTAGACAAATAAGGAATATGGTTGGAGTCCTTGTGTAATTGTATATAATATTATTCACTAGCCGTCCTACAGCCGTCAAGCCGTCCTACCTTGTCCTACCTACACACTAGCCATCCTACAGCCGTCAAGTCGTCCTACAGCCGTCCTACCTTGTCCTACCTACACACTAGCCGTCCTACAGCCGTCAAGTCGTCCTACAGCCGTCCTACCTTGTCCTACCTTCACACTAGGACGGCTACCTTGTCCTACCTACACACTTGTATCATGTATATATATCCTTGTAATCTTGTAGAGAAAAATAATGAGAAAAAAAGCATTCTCTTCCATTTTTTCCACATTCACGTATCAATAACAAATATATTTTTTAGCCTACATAACTTTTTCTACATGGATGGAGCTCTGGGTTGGAGAGCATGAAGTTTGGTGTTCCAATTATAGCCCTGCCTGTGCATCTTGACCAGCCGCCCAATGCTCGACTGGTAGAGGAGCTGGGTGTTGGCGTGGAGGTCAAGAAAACAGTAGGAGGAAGTTTGCAAGGATAAGAGCAAAGGTGATCAATGATGTGGTGGAAAACAGTAAAGGGAAGGATGTCAGAAGGAAGGCAAAGGAACTAAGAAACAACATCGGGAAAAGAGAGGATCGAGAGACAGAGAGGCCGGTGGATGAGCCGGTGCAACTTCAAATTGGTACTGGGAAGGAATCAATTAATTAAGCGTGCAAGTTAGCTTGCAATAATATCCGGATGGTGTATAACTCGTTTTATTGTAATGACTTTGCTACTAATGCAATTCCTTTTGGTCCCGACATCGAAAAAGAGTCGAGAGATGGATTCGTTTAAGGAGTTGGTTCGAGTTTGTACACTAGGGGAACAATGAAGTAGGTATAGTTGCAAGCTTCATTTTTCTTTTTCTATTTTATTGAAGCTTTTGGTTTTAGCGACGTTCTCCTAAAAGATTGTATAATCCAACTTAACTCAAAAATGGTTGTTCCTCTTGACTCGGCAGTGAGAGATCTTATGTTTGAATCTCGTGGATGGCAAATTCGATACTAAATTAGGTTGCCTATTGTGTGATTTAGCCAAACTCCCCCTTTTCCTAGTGTAAAAATATCGATGTATTGAGAGAAAAAAAAAAAAGAAAAAAAAAAAGGGCAATCGTTTCCTTTTAATTAGCATTGTGGTATTCTGATTGGGATTAATTCTAACCACAAACACTAAAATCCTGTAACCTGTTCCCTTTCAAGATAAAAAGAAACAGTAATAACCTTAATAATTGGAGTATGCATGCGTAGATGATTTGGATAGTTTGATGCGGTATTCCTCCTCATGCATGCTGGGAAGCCGGAAGAAAACTATACACTCGATCAGTCTTCTCTTACACATACACACACTCATGAGGAAAAATTCTTGCTTAGGCTCCACTGGACACAAGGCAAGCCTCATGAAGATTTTTTGTGATATCAAAAGAAACCATCCAGTTCAGCATGAATTTTGCACAAACATAAACTGCAACCTAACTTGGACTTTCAGCCTGATTTTTGCTGTTTGAAAGAGGGGTTGTTTGGTGAAGAGAAAAAAAAAATGTTTCCCTCTAATCTTCCAAAAATTAGAGGTGAAGAGAAAAAAAAAATGTTTCTCTCCTTATACACCATTGTTTGATCTTGTCCATTGCTTTTATTTTATTTATTCAATCTTGTAGGGTTACTTCGTATTGTATTTCAATGTCCAAACCGTATATAGTTTTTCCCTAAACAATTTATCCTTGCAAAATGAAACTCATATATATATATATATATATATATATATATGAAACTATTTAACCATTCCACTACATGGTTGGCAATTGAGGTGTTTTCTTGAAATAATGTGTTCCTCTATATTTTTTGCTACAACTAGATTTCTTATTGGTTTTAGATTTGTTTAACTTCTTGCAAGAACGTGGAGACTAAAAAAAATAGATGATTTAAATTATTAAATAAAATTAGAGCGGGTTTCACAAGGTGTGTCACAAAAGGTTATTTGACAGGTCCTCATTATATTTGAGAGAACCTTCAAATAACAATTTTTGTGAGACCCTCTTATAGGCCGCACTCCCCATTATATTTCAATAACTTGAACCATCTAGTTATAAGTTTTCCTCAAAGATTATCTTTGCAAAATGTTACTCAAATTTGAAAACCATTTCTCAAAAAAATTGGTTGTCATTTTAATGTTTTCTTAAAATACCGTGTTTATATGTATGTTTGTCTACAAAAAATGTCTTAATGATTTTTAATGTCTTATTTTTTTACAAGATTGATGCATAAATACACACGTGTGCGTCAAACTTATGACAAGCAATTCTTATAACACATGCACACTACTACTATATTGTAATATTTCGAATCAATGATACAATACTATACGGGAAAAAACTCGCGCATAGCATACATTATTAAGACATAATGTCACGGTGAGGTTATAGAAATGACATTGTAGTGTAACTTGTACCGAGATGGAGCAAAACTAGGGGGACAAAAGTTAAACAGGACTTGCCCGTTCTTATACGAGTGCCAAAGGTCGTTTGTTCTGAACACGCATAACTGGGTTCGAGCTTTCACAACACACAGCCTGGTGAACTCTATTTGGTGGGCAAGCGACAGTGATTAGCACAGCGAAAGAAGAGAAAATGCATTACTGGGTTCGAGCTTCTTCCTCTGATTTTGTTGGAACACTTCCTCAACCTCGCAGGTAAAATTCTCTCTCTCTCTCTCTCTCTCTCTCTCTCACATATATATATATATATATATATATGTGTGTGTGTGTGTGTGTGCGCGCGCGCGCTTATAGCTTTCAAGATTTCCCATTTGAATTTTGGTTTCCTTTAATTCTCAGTGGTCACACGGCGGTGATTGTCGGTAGATCAAAGCTGGTTGTGTTTGGAGGCCTTGTAGAGAAGAAGTTTCTCAGCGATATCGTGGTCTATGACATTGGTACTTTGTTTCCCACTCTCTCTAATTATCTCTATTTGCTTGACTTCATTTTGCTTTGCTCTATTTATATTGGTATTTTTCATCTGGGTTCTCCGAAATTCGATGAAATTATGTAAATTTTACTCTGTCTTGAATTTCTGGGTGTTCTTGGTCTAACTGTTTTGTTCACTTATACCGACGAGATATAATTTTTTTTTGTTTTGACATAATAGTCCAATGTGTTATTTGAAATTTGTATATACGCGAAGACTAAAACAGCGAGATCAGGAGATAAAGGATCCGATAAGAGAATGATAACTGGATTCTGGAACCTACCAGGGTTGATGGAAGTTTCAAGTTTTCTGATAATGATTAAGAATCAGGTAGGTTTAACAAAATTATAATTACTAATTAAAAAGGTCAAATTCATTAATTAACCAAACTCAATAACAAAATAACTTTTAAATTGCTTATATAGATGGAGTTTCAAAACATAACATCCTGAAAAAAGATTGAGTTGGCTTTGTATAGTATATAGCTATCAACATGAATTTGCATAATTTGAATTGTAAAGGGGCTTTTGAACTTCTCCTTTATAAATTTGAGGATCTTACAAAATCTTAAAAGTGCTTCAGATATTATACTATTATTTGTATTTCTTGAAAATCATATTTTCTTGTATACACGATATCCCCGTGTGAAGTCATCATTTTAGGAACTTCTTACTATTCAGCATTGTTGCAACAACGTTTCCCTACATACGTTCTATTCCTACACGTTTTTGTCATAATACTTCTCTTACATAAACTTGCCTGACTTAGTTTGAAGGATCACTTTGTACTTAATTCATGTTATGGTAGAGAACAGGTGAAATAGACCTATACTTAAGCAAACACAAACTTGTATTTATTACAGAAAACAATATGCACCATGGCAGTTCAAGTACAAATGCTTTTGTGGATTAAGGTTTTCTGTGAGTGGGAGTTCACTTGACTTTTTGTCAATAGATTTTCACACAAGTTTGACTATAGCATCTCAATGTAGGCCTGTTACTTTTTCAGATAACAAATTATGGTATCAACCAGAGTGCACTGGTGGCTCTGATGGACAAGTTGGTCCAAGCCCACGAGCATTTCACGTTGCTGTTGTGATTGATTGTCATATGTTCATCTTTGGTGGGCGTTCTGGGAGCAAGAGGTATTTCACATTCAATACATATCTATCTACAGCTTTCTGCTCTAGGACGCTAATACTATTACTTCACTGCAAATGGTATTAACAATATTGTTTGGTTTTCAGGTTAGGTGACTTTTGGGTCCTAGATACTGGTAAGAATCTATTTATTTTGTGCTGCTGATAATGCACGAGAATTATACCTACTTGGTTTAATGCTTCTTTTGACTTCCTTTGACTGATGAGTAATCAAACATATATTTAAAAGAAATTACGTTTGTTCTAGATATATGGCAATGGACAGAGTTGACAAGTTTTGGTGACTTACCTTCTGCACGAGATTTTGCTGCAGCTTCAGCTATAGGAAATCGGAAAATTGTTATGTGAGTATATCTTTTGTATTACTTATTGATTAGTTGATATGACGGTTCTATAGTAACTTTGTTATGTTAAATATAAACAAATGCAGGTATGGTGGCTGGGATGGTAAAAAATGGTTGTCAGATGTGTATGTCTTGGACACAAGTAAAATCTTTTCTCTATGATTTTGGAATTATCTGTTATTTTCTGCTTCATGTTTGATTTAGTATATTTGTTGAAATGGTCGTAAATCAGTTCTATCTTGATTTGCTTCCTTATACAGTATCACTAGAGTGGATGGAGCTGTCAGTTACTGGGTCCTCACCTCCACCCAGATGTGGCCATACAATTACCATGGTTGAGAAACGGTTGCTTGTTTATGGTGGCAGAGGTGAAGTAATAGTATAATCTGCAATCATTTGTAATACATATCTCTCTCTGTTTGTTATAGTTTTATTTATTTATGAGAGTTTACCTCGATTATGAATTAATAGTATAATCTGCAATCATTTACGTTTCTTCGAGAATGATGTGACAAAACTTAAATTAGAGTTGCATTTAATCATTCTGCCCTTCTATATTACAATATTTTTGTTATTAAGACAAGAAAAATGATATGATTGAAAGGAATGCTAATTTGTGAAAGTATTCCCCACACCACACCCACCCACCGCCACCAACGCGCACCCCCCCACCACCCCCCCCCCCCCCCCCCCCCCCCCCGCCGCGCGGGCGCCCCTACATTATTTTGTTGAAGTTGAGAAATCAAAATAACTAATTCTAAAGCTGTAGTGTCTTAGAGTTTTGTCCTAATTGACTCTGTTATTTTGATGTAATTTCTTTGATGGCTGTTTATTATTTTTAGAGATATCAGGGTTTATGGAGAGTGTGTCCTCTGTTTTGTATTTTTTTTCATTTCCTTTAAAGTTTCTTTTCAGAACAAAATATCCTGCAAAATTTCACGCCCCATAAGGCCAACCTAATTACTTGGGGAACAGTGAATTAATTGATATTATCATGTGCCACACAGGATCTTCCCATTAAATGTACTTGTGAATTCTGAAGGCAGACAATTCTTTCCATGGAGTATCCCCTTTAAAGATAATTTCAGTGCTTATTTTCTTGCACTAGCCATTTGGGATATCCCCTTTTTAATATTTGAATTATTTGGTGTAACAAACTTCTACAGTCTACTTTTTAATTGGCCCCATGACTACCTGGAACTTTTTGAATTAAATACAAGGAGATACAAATTATTATGGCTTTTTATCCAAAATGGTCCCTGACATTGACTAACTCCTCACTTTGGTCCCTGAGATTCAAATCTATAGAAGTGTTCCCTGGGATTGTCCAGCGTCAATCCTTTTGGTTCTTCTGTAAGAAATCTCCGTTAAATTGAGGGTATTTTTGTGAAATCAACCCTTCCCCTTGAACTGGTGGTTTCTTCAATTTAACGGAGATTTTTCACAGGACCAAAATGATTGACGGTGGACAATCTCAGGGACCACTTCTATCGATTTTGAATCTCAGAGACCAAGTGAGGAGTTATGCCAATCTCAAGGACCATTTTGGCTAAAAAGCCAATTATTAATAGAAATCTAATCAGTGTTCAACTTCGCTGATTATTTTTTTTGTTTTCTTCCTCCTTTCCCTTTCGTTCTTTGTATTGCTTATAAACATATATGCCAATCTTTGCAATAAGGCAAGCATAAGATGCTTGGGTTTATTTGTGTACAATCTAGCTGACTTGAATATTTGTCTTGACTTTCACAGGAGGTGGAGGTCCAGTACTGGGTGATTTATGGGCTTTGAAGGGTCTAATCGAAGAAGGTTAGTATATTCCCTTTTTCGATGGTAGCTTACTATTTTGTCATGGCTTATCCATTTGGTTTTACTTTTTTGTCATGTTTTCTGAAAATTGCTTTATTTTGTCGGATTATGTTGTTACATTTTATGTTTCCTCTCTGGATAACTGCTGTGTCCCTTGTAGAGCACTTGTCAAAGTGATGAGTATTCTCCTTCTAATGCCATCCAAATTACAATTAGCTTTTTGCTGCATCTGTTCACACCTGGACAAATTGAGTTTTAGCCACCCAAAGATACAATCATCTTAGTTTTGTTTGTCTTCCAAATAGTACTGTAAGGAATTTAAGGATTAAGAAACCATTTCTCTATTTTCTTATCTCGGAAGCAATCTTTACATTGTGTGCACCTGGACATGTTAGGCTATCATTTTTCGTCTCTTTTGTTATTTTAGCTTGACGTTTCTTCTTATCCGTTGTTACTCAGATTCATGAGTTTAAGCTTCAAACATGTCAATTCATAAAACTCATTATATATGTGTGTGTGTATTATTACTTGGTTTTCAGTTATTCAACTTAATTTTGTGATTCGTCTTTCTTGTGGAAGGTAGAGAATGAAACACCTGCGTGGACCCAATTGAAGCTTCCAGGACAAGCTCCTTCTGCTCGGTGTGGCCATACTATTACATCAGGAGGGCACTATGTAATTGACATTTCCATACTATTTTTATTAGTCCTTTCAATATACTTTCTTCAGGGATGACTTCTACTTCATTACAAGTTAATGTATTTCTGTACTGTTGTTATTATGGTTAACCTGGTTAGGGTAGGATACTGTTAGTAACAGCAGAAGGATTGTTATAAGCTTGATTAGTTAAGTTTACATACATGTGATCTCAGCTTGGCATGTGTGACTGAAAGTATAAGCTCTTTTTTTCCTCGGCGATAGATATCCTTACTTGAAAAAGTAGTATCAAACTTTTCCTTAAGTATCAGATTTCATTTCTTGGTTACTTTTACAGTTATGTTGCATAAGTTGAAAAAATAAACTCTTAATGTCTGGATCTTAGAGTAGCGAAGAAGATGTACCAATAGTATCTAACAATGAGACTTTTTGGCCAAAACAAGAGCTGCAGTCCTGTATTGTAGGGTTCTTGATTACAACAATCATATTTGTATTGATGACAATGGAATTATTACATCATGATATCTGTTTTCTTTTCTTTAACGTTTAATATTCACACTGTTTTCTTGATGTCCTTTTGAAGCTGTTGCTCTTTGGCGGCCATGGAACTGGTGGCTGGTTGAGTCGTTATGACATTTATCACAATGACTGCATTGTTCTAGACAGGGGTAATTGATTCTTGCCTTTTCTATTGGACTATTCACTTAACTTTGCTGAATGCGCCATCATAGTATTGATTAACCATTCATATTTTACCATGTTAATACTCTCGTTTAATATATTCATGTAGCAAACAATGCAGATGCTAGAAAAATTTCAGTCTCTCAGCACTCTTACTGGGTTCACTTTTTTTCGTCTTTTTAATTTTTTTTTTTTCACTTGTAAAAAAAGAAGTGAAATTCTTTTCATAGTCCACTGACATACTGCAATCTTTAATAGTCCTATCCTTGTGTTTCGATAAAATAGATAGGGAACCATATGGCAGAGAGCGAGAAAGAAAGAAAATAGTAGTGGTTCAGATACAACTAAAATCAGAAAGCAGAGCTCTTATCTGATTCTCAACATTGAACTGGCTCATCAAATGAAGAATTAAGATTGGTGTTAATATTTTGTAATTGTGTGGCAAGAACAAAGGCAAAAACAATAAGGTCACTGGAATCAGACCTAGTTTTAAGTTGTTGTACACAGAGGACTTGGGTATGACCACTGACATCCAATGCTTAACATCGAAACATGAAATATTATGGATTTGCGTTATTGAGATAAAATGAGGATTACTTTAATGAGTAAGAAACTATCTTCTTAATTATATATTTGTGGTTAATTGTGTGTGTGAAACATTTCTATTTTTCTTCACGTTCAATGCAATTGTTTTTAATTGCATCATTCTTTTCCAGAATTTGGTTCAAATGCTTTGCATCTTTAATGCAATTATTTATAATTCCTTTTTCCTTCTGGTGTCAAGTGTCTGCACAGTGGAAGCGCTTGCCTACTGGCAATGAACCTCCTCCTGCTCGAGCATACCATTCTCTGACATGTATGGGTTCACGCTATCTGCTATTTGGTGGCTTTGATAGAAAATCAACATTTGGTGATCTCTGGTGGTTGGTTCCTGAAGGTATTATATCGCCTTCGTTTCTCTCCATTGGATAATTTTGTTTATGGTCTTATAAACCACTCTTGAAAATGAACCTCAGTTAGGTGATGAATAATCCTCTATGTACTTTGAAGCCCTTGTGCTATAAATTAAGTGGTGTGGGAATGTTCTCATAGACTTGGTCTTTTGCTAAATTTTCTGCGACGACAAGAAAAATGAAATTGGTCTGTGGTCTTCAATTTATTATTAACTCTTTTTTCTTTGCTGGAACGCTTATGAAATGTTGCATGCAATTGTGAAAATCTAATGAAAGAGTTTGATATAACATTTAAACAAATTTGATTGATATCAGACTCTTGGAAGTTTGTTTGGTTAGGATGGGCAGGCTCCAAAGTTATCTAAATCTTGTTACTGAAGAAAAAAGTTGAGGAAGGAAGACTTGGAATATTGCTTAGTGAAGGAGAGAATGGCAGAAGCCCTATTAGCTAAGAAAGACGTTTTATGACCCTTGCTGTGTGTAGTTATCCAAGCAGAAGAGGACCTTGTATTTCCTTTTTATTTTATTTTATGATTCATGGCGTTTGAATTAGAACCTAATTCTAACATATTATAATTCTCACTTTTGCTTGTTCTGTAGAGGACTCCCTTGCAAAGAGATTACTTGCAGCTTCGCCAAATATCCAAAATATCCAGAATAAGGATGTGGAGATGGGAAACGAAAATGTCCAAAATATAAAGGTCTGTTTACAAATGCCTCCAATTAAGTGCAACTTTTAGCATGATTTTATCATACTGCCTTCTCATAGAACCATAACTGGGTTGGTTGTTATTAGGTAATTGTTTTTCGAAGTTGGGCATGCATGCATATCTCACAAAAGTATTGGTTTACTGCTAGAGTTTTAACTTTGTAACCGACCCTTCTAATTTTAGCGGGAAAGCCAAATGGAAGAATCTGCTGTCTCGGAGTTACAAAAAAGATTAGGAATATCTGTTTCTCTTCTTGGTAATGGGGTTCCAATTGTGGATGAAGTGGAAGACAAAGAATTCATTCAACTGGCTTCAAATTTGGTTGGAGAAAGAGTCTTTAGTGACGAACGGGTTTCTGATGTTCAGGTAGGGTATTTTACCATGCATCAAGTAGGTACTTTTAATGTCAAATGCAATCGGTGGTGTGGATGAAAATTTAATGAAAATACAACTCAGGCACTTCGTGAACACTGGAGGAAATCTACCCCAAGGCTTATCCCACTTAAGGAGCTTGGACCCTTGCTTCGGGACTACCAACGCCTGATTACTCGTCGTCTTCAGTAAGAACATCTTACACCATAGCTTATGATCAGCCAAACTTATTACAGGATCTTCTTGTTATTTTATTATTAAAAATTTTCTTGCTTCACATTAAGTGGCTAGTTCACACGATCCGCATTTGACCTTTGGTTGTGCACATGGTAATCACAATCCTTGATTCTAGGTCTTGGTCCCCACATAGTATGCGGCTCAACATTAGTTGAGCGTGTAACATAGGTACAGCATAATGAGTATAGAAAATACATCACAGTTACAGAAGGGTCAGTGGGATTTTTGTGCACTCTCCTATTTTTGCTAGTTTAGCTAATAGATGACTCCTATACTCAAAAATAACACTTGATGATATACTCCTACTAAATATTTCGTGTGTACATGAAAATATAGAGCGAGTACAGTGAGCTACCGAATAATCGAAATAATGCTGCTTGGAGTCCTCTCATGGCAGGAGAAAGATGATTCTGTGAAGCATTGTGCAAAAGGAGGCTAGGGTTTAGGAGTTAGATGATACTCTAGTAAAAGAGGACGTTGAGTGAGTCGTTTGGAAGTTGGCTACTGTAAAATGGACACCAACACTAGTGAACCAGATTGTTTTTGTGAAGACAAATCTATTAGACATCCAATAACCGAAATGTGATCAACTTATCATATTTTTTAATTAGCAAAATTGAAATTTCGACCAGTCCAATGGCATCTCAAATGTTTTGGTCTCTGTCCATTTCATGTTAGTTCTTCCCCCCCTAGAATTTGTGGAAATGGACACAAGTATAGAATTTGGTCTTTGTCCATGGGAAACTAACAGCGTAAGTTGTATTTTAATCCATATATTTCGGTTTCTCATTTGTTAACTTGGTTGATTAATGTTTTCATCTTCTTTTTCTCTTTTAGGAATTTTCTTCGTGGCTATAATAGGGTGAATAGTGGATCTGATATGCAGTTCGTCGAGTCCAGTTTTCCTGGAAAAGCGGCTTATGGTTTTTACCATATAAGAAATGTTAACCAGGTACAATTCATGCTTAGTTATGCAAAGCAATCAAAATTATTATTATCATCACATGGTACCATATTTTCCTCCATCTGCAAACTTTCTAGTTTCTGTTTATGTTCTTTCATTTATTTCTCGTCTCGTATTGTTTTTAATGACATCGTGGTTTTCAGTTGCGTCTGGATGACATCCCAAAGCTGCTGGCAGAGTACAGACAACTAGTGCCAAATTAACGGACAGAGCTGGAAAAACGAAAATGAAAAGGCAACTCCTCTAAAAGATATGTCCTAACCAATCTACAATTTCATCGAAGTTATGGTATTGTAGTGCTCTCATGTTTCACCGGCACAAACCTCCATCGATGAACTCGTTGCCAGACTGGTGCAAAGATGTTGTACATGTCCGCTATAAACTCGTCGAAATCTGCTGCAGCTTTAGATGCTTGTCTTATTTACTTTGTCATAACTTTGGTGGACCTTTCTAAGGTATACAGGTTAAGACTTTTTGAGTGTATATATAAACTCTTATCTCGGACAGGTTCAAACTCTCGCCCTCCCCTTAATTTAGTGAAGCTGGGTGTAGATTATTCTATTTGATGAACGTCATTGAAGCTTTCCTGTAATCTCCCATCACTTCGACTTCCCGTTAAAATGATAATATAATGAAATGTCAAAGATTTTATTTAATGAACGTCGATAAATAGATAAATTGGAGTACATCCTGTTGGATAGGTTACGGAATTGGTTGCATTCGAGAGGTTTAGTACGAGGGTCAAAATGATACCGGTGGACAAATTTAAGGACTATCTTTATTGATTTTTATTTTTAAGGATCAAAGTGAAAAGTTATGCTAATTTACTATTTTGATTAAAAAGCCAAAACTGAAACTAGAAACCTGTGTTAGAGGTTTATTAAATCCAATGTTGAAACCTATTCAATAGTATTGTTCAAAACTTGAAAATTTATAGCTATTGGATAGACTTGATAGTAGGGTAGAGGGAAAAGAAGAAGAGAAAGAAGAAGCACGGAGCCTTTTAAGGGAGGGATGCAGAATTTTTTATAAAAATTGGGAATAGTTGTGGGACCTACTCTACGTCGAACTTCAATTATCTGAACCGTCTATTTTTCGAGTTACACCTCATAGATCATCATGATCAAACATAAAACCAGAATAGGTCACTCTAGGTGTGACCCACACTAGAAATTAATGGCGATTTAGTCAAAGGCGATTTTGAAATTTGTTTTAAGAATGATGATTGATAAGATGACTACATAATTAAGATATATTTGTACTATTTTATGTGGTAAGTGAGATATAAAATAAACATTTAATGCGCTAAATTTATTAATTAATATGATATGTACACATTACTTATTATATGAGATGATGGATTAATACGATTACCTTAGCATTTTCATTGTTTTGAAGATGACAAGAATATACTGAACTTTCCCTCTTCACTTTTCTTCCACTTATAAGTTTCCTATTTTATAAACAAAAAACTTTATAAAAGAAAGCACATACATAGTTTATTAATAAAAACATGAATAAAATAATTTGAAGTTCGAACTAGACCTTATATTGTGTCGTGTTTTCTGTGTTCGTGTCATTTTCGTGTTATACCCGATATTTTAACAGCTCGTTTCGTGTAACATCCGTTAAAATAAACGAGTAAAATGACCTGATCTGAAATCGACCCGATAATATTAACAGGTAATATGACCTGACCCGTTACCCGTTAAGGAAAATATATTACCAATAAATAATCAAATGAAAAACATAATACCAAATAAGTACATACATACCATATTATCACATTCAAAACATAAAAACGCATTTGTCTTTCAAGTATTACATATTTACATACCCAAAATAAGAGCATAATAAATATAAAAAAAAAACATTAATACATTATAAAATATCAAATGTTCAAAAGATTTGCAAAATTAAGGGAGTTATGTTTCAAGGTTTGGAACCTTGCACATTTTCTTACAATCAAACTCTTCAATTTTCATCAATCACCATGGGAAACGGTATTGGAACATTGGCTTGATATATTGTCTTCAAGAGTTATATTGATGATATTTTCAGTGAGGCTTTCTACATTAGCACTCTCTTCTCTTTTATCCTATAGCTATTGTTTAAGTAAAGTTTTTACTACTTTCGTGAACAGCTTAACTTTGAAATGTGACACTATAATCATATAAATTATAGATCAAAATTTAACTGTCGATTGTTGTTTAAATTTATACTTCATTTTTCTCACCAAATTTTGTTTTTTCAGATTTTGTTTTTTGAAAACATGATCTATTAGAGGATATAGGAAGATGAATGGTTCGGATCGTTGATATTATGTTCAGAGTTTTACTGTTAGTGAAAATATTGCTTGGTGTTTATAAAATCTCTACAAACTATATAACATCGACTCATATTTCAATTAATCGTAAATATCGGGACGTGATATCAAAGATCCGAATCGTTCATCGTCCTACATCCCCCAGAAGATGATGTTTTCAAAAAAGAAAATTTTAAAAATGAAATTCAATATAAAGAATAAAACCTAAACGACAATCGACGGTTAAATACAAATTTAAGGTTTATGGATTATAGTGTCGGATTTCGAAGTTGATCCCTTCACAAAAGTTGTAAAGCTTGTCACTACGAGTGATTGTGTGTGTGTGTGTGTGTGTCTATATATATATATATATTTTTTTTTTACATTTCTTACATTTCAACAATAATTATTATTAATTTTATTACTTTTACACTCAAATAAAAAACACTATTCATGACGGTTTGAAGGGTTTTAAAAATCGAAATGATAATGTAAGTGTAACCATTGTCTACTCATGGAGGAATAATGAATCACGAGTGTTCATATATTCTCACATTTTTCATACTTGTAGGGATGTCTTATTGCCTATACTAATACTATACTAGTTGATTTTAATTTTGGACAACAACAATATATCCTATTAATAATAATAAGAAACTCTCATAATTAAAATAAATAAATGAATAAAACTAAATTTTTTTTAACTTATATAGAATAATAATACAAAAAAATATATTTAATATAGAATGTACCAATATATACAATATGGCTATTGTATTTTATAATAAATTTTTAGTAATTAAACTTTAAAATTATAATTTATTTTTCTTAACGGGTCGAAACGAGTTACCCATGTGTTACCCGTGTGTATACCCGTTAAGAACAGGTCATCCGATAATGACCCGATTAATTATCGTGTTGACCTAAAACCAGTTATTTTCGTGTCGTATAAGAAACTGCCGAGTCTAGTTTGAACCTTCTAGTTCCTTTTATGTTTTACCTTAAAGACCTTTAAAATAAAGTTCCTTAAGCAAACCTGGAATTTAATACCAAGGACAGAAGTTTTGAGCACTAAGTGTGGGATTTACATAGAATGAGTTCACGTTATGTTGCTTTGTTGATTAATAAAGTATGGATTGTTATGTACAAGTTTTTTTTTACAACACAATTTTTAAAAACACCACCTGGCAGCAAATTCATTTTATATAAGTTGCTTTCTAAAATATAAAATGTTATTACATATTTTATAATATAAGTGGATGATAAGATGGATATGTTACATCCTAGGATATATTTTCTAGAAACTTGTTACTGGTATTTGAAATCTAATTGTGTATTATAAATTTTTTATGTTTGAAAAGGAAAATATTCTTATAAGTGTAATACTAGGGACTAAACATGTAGAAAATTTTGTAAATTAAATAACATGAAAATAGATAATTGATTAACATACTTACTTTTTATTGATGACACATTAAAAGTTTAATTTACCTAACATGTAATAAGTAGATTTTTAGAGTACTTGTAATAATTTTTCAGTTTTTATTCTTTTATTTTTTTTATTTACTAAAAAGAACAAAAAAGGCATATTGATATGTGTGCCAGAAAAGAAGGTCGACTATATGAGTCAGTATTATTTTACTTATGCCATTACATCTGTCCACCAACGACAAAAAAGGTATGAATAATGTTAGGGTTGTTAAATTTATTGATTAAATTTACAAATTAAATGATGTGCTACTAATAGAAAATGAGCACATTTATTAATATTTAAGTAATAATCTAATAATCAATTTTTATGTCATTTAATTTACAAAATTTAGTCTCCCTAGCATTACTCAAAATGTATATTAGTACGAGAGTTGTGACTGTAATAAGAGTGGCACACCACGTGTTATATATAAGTGGTGAAATTTTTATTTTTTATGTTATTTTATCAACACAAAAATCTTACCACTTGTATAAAAATACGTGATATACCACTTGATATTTCAGGCACATTGAAAAATCTCTCCAGTAGCAGCATATCCAAAGCATCTGTGTGCTTATACTCCAAGACAAAAAGCATGTGCGTGGTGTGCTCAACTTATTATAGAATACGGGCATAGTGCCATGTGATATTTTGTGTAAATAAACCGAGAAGAACTTCGAGTGTGTTTGTTGTACTAGACTATTTTAGATTGGACTAGTTTCAGAGACTAAGCTGAATTAGCTTAGACTAGACTAAGTTGAACTAACTTAGTGAAATGTTTGGTGCAGTGTCTGACTAAGCCATAAAATATAATTTTTTTTGCCATTTTTAATTCACTTTTGTCTAAAAATTAAACAAAAAATAATAATAACAGAGTAGTGAAGTTTGGAGATGAATGGATCCAAGCAGATTTTCTTTCCCCTTCCTTCCTATACCCTTCCTCGTTTCTCCTCCATCATTTTCTCTCTATCAAATCATGCATCAGTCTCTTAATTTTCTTCATCGATTAAGAGAATTTGTTGGTTAACCATTCGTCAAGCCTTCAGAAGAATTCCAAAAAGAAATGCAAGCCCTCCAACAACCAATTAAACTTGCAACTCAATTTATAGAAATTAAGGACAAAAATCAATTGGATTAATCTCAAGAAAAAAAAAAAACCATAAACCATTTAAACTTGCAGATGTATTTACAGAAATTCAGGACAAAAATCGTACCACAGCCAAATCATTCCTCTAATATAAAAAATCATAAAAAGAAGATGACTGAGATTGCGAAGCAGCCATGGCATAGATGACCCAGTCAACGAGGAGGCAAGTCGAAGCCAAAGCTAAAATCAATAACTTCAAAGCCATAACCATGGCAATTGCGAAGCAGTGAATGAGAAGAAGATGACGGAGATGACCCAGTTAACGAGGTCATCGTCGAAGATGAAGCAATCAACGAGTTCATCGTCGGAGATGAAGCCACGCCTAAAGCTTGTGCCGTTGAAAGCGAGGTCAAGGAGGTGATTCGAGCAGGACAAAGAAGTTCTTAGCTAGTCCCATGGTTTTTTGGGGGACATGCTAAGAACGGCTAGCAAGGTTGTCACATCCTAGCCCAGGCCCCCACCACATCCCGAGCTCGACTCCACCGTAGCACGATATTGTCCGCTTTGGGCCCCTACCACACCCTCATGGTTTTTTTTTTTTTGGAAACTCACACGAGAACTTCCCAGTGGGTCACCCATCTTGGAATTGCTTTCGCGCAAACTCTCTTAACTTTGGAGTTTCGATGGAACCCGAAGCCAGTGAGCTCCCAAAAGGCCTCGTGCTAGGTAGAGATGAGAGTATACATATAAGGCTTACAGAATCCACTCCCCTGGGCAATGTGGGATGTTACAAGGTTGTTAGTGAAAGCGTGTCCTAGATAATCCCATTAAAACTAGTCCGACTAGGAAACAAACACAGACTACATTAATATTTAATCCAGTCTAATTCAGTGAAACTTAGTGAAGGTAAACAAATGCCCCTAGTATGATTATACTATTACTATATATAACGTCTCGTGTTGGTAAAAAAAAAAAAAAAAAAAAAAAGGAAACGTGTTTTTGTCAAAATATGTCATTAACGTAAGGCATGATGTGGTATGAACAAAACTAGCAAATATCTTTATTTTACTAATACAATAAGCAAATTTTTATCAAATATCTTTATTCACTGGCACAAGACGTGTATTACCTCTTCTTCCTGCTGTATTTTTGTTCTTGCATTTCCCAATGATATACATAAGCAAGGTATTTCTTGACTCTAGTCCTTTATAAAGAATTTATACCATCTTGTAATCAATCAACTATCACTTAGGGTAGGAACACCAGTATTTCATTTATGAATATTGATTATTGAAAGAAGAAAAAAAGGACATATATTGAGATATTTCTCCTCAACTTTACAAAAAATGTAATTTTATTTTTTTACATTCATAGTTGAAGCGAATTTTTTAAAGATAAAATGGATCATGGGATTGTGTGACTTGAACTATTGATCAGGCCTTGCAGATGTATATCCTTATTTATCTGCCACATATTTTTTTTGTATTCACATTAAAAAATTATAGCATAAGACATGTTGTAACGGTGCACTAATTATTCTTTAATAAAATAAAGACATGAACAAAATTAACTCATATCTTTATTTTATTATACACTACGTCACCAAGGGTTAGAAATATTTGTATGCATTGAATTTGTGCTCCTTACTAATTAATAAAGTCATGATATGCTATATAATACTTACATAGAAATTAAATTTGTAATATAACCCCGCTACGTGCCGCTTCGCATACGAAACTTCATGTAGCTTATATTTGGTTTGTAGTATATGTGTGCCTCTCACTGCCGACCTCCATTTAACTTTGGTGAAACTTTGTTTTTGTAACAGACAAAGAGATGGTCCCGTATCTCCCATGCATGATGCAGATGCGATGCGGTTGTATCTGCTTTACATTCTTGGAAGGTGACACGTAAGAGAGAGGTGCCACCTTCTCGTAGCCAGTCCAGACTACTTCTAAGCACTCACGGCATGCAATACCAAATGGAAGAGGATTGTCTTTCGATTCAAGGAGATCTTAGGATTCTCACATTTTAACTGTTCATTATATATTTGGAAGCTAATTTTCATCAAATACTATTTGTGTTTAAATAAAAAAAATCAAATAATTTCTGACATATACATAATGAATAATTAAGATGTAAAGATCTCTAAAATCCCTACAAAATGGATCAGTATAGGATGATTGAGTTCAAAATTACTTTTAATCATACGATCCCTTGAAACCGTAATTACGATACTTTGAAACCTGAAACCATATTAAGAAACTTGAAACCCTCAACAAAAGAACCGCCACCCCCAACCCCACCCCCGGCGGGTGAGATAAATGGTAAAATATACAATGGTAGTCCATTCACTATAAATTTGGGCCAAAAAAAAAAAAAAAAAAAAAACCAAAAACAGTAAATTTTGGAAGTAATTAACGAAGAAACTGGAACAGTGAAAACTGATTGGCGAGATATTAGAAGTAACTTTTCTTTACTTATTTTTTGACAAATATAAAATAATTACAGGAAATTTATCTAAATTATAAAGATGAAAGGGTGTTTGATTTAAGACCCGGTACTAATTATCAGAATAATTCATCACTTGTTAGAATTAATTAATTACGAAAACAAAAGAAATACTGGTCCCCCCCCCTGTGAAGAAGAGTACTAAATCAAATTACATGTCCGGCTAACTATTTGAGGAAGAGTAATGTTGAAGAGATTAAAATTTAAATTAAATTTATAAATCAAATGTAGTGTTGATTAAGTACTTATTTTTATTAGTATATGTTATTTGATTTGTAAATTTGATTTAAAAATTTAGTTTTTCTGGCATATCGTATCTTCTGACGAAACCAAGTTTATGCTTCTTTTTCTTAATTCGATTGGTCATATATAAGTTTTTGTGATAAGACTAACCGCCAATTCCTACTACTTGCTTGAACATCCGTATGAAGGTTCCACGTATTTCTTCAAACGTCTACACATCTTGCACTATATATCTCTCTCCACCAAAACCACACTAACATACAAGCCCATAATCATATACAACCAGCAACAACAAACAAAGAATCAAGTTTAGAAAGAAAAATATGCTTTATCCTGATCAGAACAGAAGCATTAGCATTCTTATGCTTCCATGGTTAGGTCACGGCCATATTTCTCCCTTCCTAGAGCTAGCCAAGAAACTCACCAGCCACAGAGATTTTCACATCTTCATTTGCTCCACACCTGTTAATCTCAGCTCCATCAAGCCCAAACTACCCAAGAAATACTCTCACTTCATTGAGTTTGTGGAACTTCATCTTCCACACGATGAGTTGCCACCTCACTACCACACCACCAATGGCCTCCCACCCCATCTCATGCCCACTCTCAAAAAAGCCTTCGACATGTCCAGCGATAACTTCTCCCACATCCTCAAAACCCTAAAACCAGATTTGCTCATATATGATTTTCTCCAGCCATGGGCACCGTCCCTAGCTTTGTCGCACAACATTCCGGCCGTCGAGTTCACCACCACCAGTGCTGCCTCGATGTCACTTTTTCTTCACCATCACAAGAACCCTAATGTTCAATTCCCTTATCCTTCCATCTATCTTCGGGATTACGAAACTAAGGAGCTCAGCAATCTACTAGAATCTTCAGCAAATGGCATCACGAACGTAGAACGCGTACTACTGTGCAGTGATCTGTCTCGTAACATCATTTTGGTAAAGACTTCTGGAGAGATTGAATCAAAGTGTGTTGATTATCTCTCCCAGTTAACGGAGAAGAAGATTGTGCCCGTCGGTTCACTTGTTCAAGACCCAATGGATCAACAACTAGATGAGGAATCGTCGATCATCAAATGGCTAAACGAAAGGGAAAGAGCTTCAGTCGTGTTTGTGTCCTTCGGGAGCGAGTACTTTTTGTCCAAGGAGGAAATACAAGAGATAGCTCTTGGATTGGAGCTTAGCCAAGTGAGTTTCATTTGGGTTATTAGGTTTCCTAAGGAAGATAAAAGTACTAGGGTTGAAGATGTTTTGCCAAAAGGGTTTAGGGAGAGGGTAGGAGAGAGGGGAATGATAGTGGACGATTGGACCCCACAGGCAAAAATATTGAAGCATTCTAGTGTTGGTGGGTTTGTGAGTCACTGTGGATGGAGCTCGGTGTTGGAGAGCATCAAGTTTGGTGTTCCGATTATAGCCATGCCTATGCAACTTGACCAGCCAGTAAACGCCAGACTGGTGGTGGAGGTTGGCGTTGGTGTGGAGGTTATAAGAACCGGCGGAGGAGGTAGTTTGCAACGGGAAGAGGTGGCGAAGGTGATCAGAGATGTGGTGGTGGAGAAAATTGGAGAGGGTGTGATGATAAAGGCATTCGAATTAAGAGACAACATGAAGAAGAAAGATGATGAAGAGATGGACAGGGTGGTGGAGGAGTTGATGCAACTTTGTACGGCGACGACAAGGGAATCAATTAGTAACTACTTTTAAGCGAGAGATCGATGTCTGAGACTTGCAAATAATGATTCTTATGATTTTGAATGCTCTCGTCAGTGTATCATGTCTAATTTTTAAAATCGTGTTTGTATATGTTCTTGATCATTTAATCATTATAATGATTTCTAATGGACTATGTATCTGTATGTCTGGACGCTCACATCTGTGTATACATGTGTTTGATAAAACAACATCTTTTGTTGTAAGTAATAGTTGCGAATTTATGTATTTGATGAAACAACATATTTTCTTCTAGTAAATAATAGTTGTGAGAGAAGGGAGAGAGGGACGGCAGAGAGAATGGAGAAAAAGGGGCGCAGCTAACTTAACTTGATTGATTTTTTTTTCTTCCCTATCTTGTGTCTTTATTTACACTAATCATGATCAGTATATTTGCCTTCCAAGTTACATAAAATACAAAAGAAAGGATCTTCTAGATCCTATAGGATTTCATAGGAATTTTTACCATTTGGAAAAATAAGATAAAAAACACATTGGATTACTTGAAGAGAACAAGGTTATTAATTACAAGAAAAACGTCATTTGCGAAATTTTATGCGTCAAATAACACTACACAGTCTACGAGTAAAACAAATTAGGAGCACTAGACTGTGCGTCGAAAAATATTTGTAACATCGGCAAAGTACGAGCTTTGGATTGTGTTTCAAAAAATATTTGCGACATTTGCATTAGTAACAATCAATTAAAGTCGCAAAAAGATAACAAATAGCAATATGTGAGAAATTTGGAAATATAACCATTTTGAGAACCACCTAATAAAATATAGCCTATGTTTTCCATTGTTTTAAAATTAACCAAAATTGAAAGTGTAAAAGACTTAATTACTCTTTGGTTAAAACTCTCATCTCCTACCTCTGCTGTTCGTCTCCTACCGTCCCGGAGGTTGAAGAAAGAGAAATCATTCCTTTTTGCAGTAGAATCTCCCAAATCCAATCCAACACAACAACTAATTGGTTGGTTGCCTTAATGCTAATCTCGATCCCTCCAATCGATTCCGAATCAAAACCTTCAATCGGTTGGTTGCCGAGAATCTGCACGCATGGAAAAGAATTGTTGACTATTTGGCTGCCGAGAAAACGCCAGAAAACGAAAGGATTACAGTTACAATTTGAAAATCCAATCCAATCCAGTGCCTACTGTATCCGGAAAGTTACGGGCCGGAGATGAAAAAGCAATACATGCTATAATCCTGAGCTGGATGCACTAGATCCACTGACTACTAAATAGATTTTCATAATCTAAATTATCTATTACTTACTATTGGGTGTTAACGGAATTTGATCTGGAATTCAAGTAGATTCTAGTCAAATATATTGACTAGTTAATTAAGAATTGTTGGTTTCCTGAGCAAAATTCGTGCTAAAAAAACTAGGTTAATGTTGATGGACATGGTATCGCAACGGTATGTCGTAGGTGGTTTAAAGTATAACCGATGAGGGTGGTTTGTTCTTAAATAGAATTATTAGAAATACAAAATAAAGATTAGAAGCGTTAATTTTCCATTAATTTGGTATATACTCTTATATATCTTTCTTGTCTATGATATCTGAAATTCATTAGTCTTTAATATTATGTTGTATTTTTTTTTTTTAACAAACAATATCATCTATACTAAAGAGGTGGGAGAGTGTGCTATGTCTTACGATGGGCTAGCAATAATGTGCCTTTGACGAGAGGAAAAGGAATACCATTAGACTGTAATACTAAATGACTAATATGGTGTTGTATTTAGATACAATAATATGATGGGTTGGTGGGAATTTTGGCACTTGGTTTCTCTTTTCTTTTTATTTTATATATTTGTTCTTTCTTTTTTTGGCTTTTTTTGGTCAACACTATTTTTTTATGGTTTATTTTGTTGCGTTTTGATTTAGTTTCGCAGTTCCATGGTTTTTATGCCCACCTCTAGATGTGTATGTCTTGGACACAAGTAAACTGTTTTCTATATGATTTTTGAATTATCTGTTATTTTCTGCTTCATGTTTGATTGAGTATATTTGTTGAAATGGTCGTAAATCAGTTCTATCTTGATTTGCTTCCTTACAGTATCACTCCAGTGGATGGAGACCTCCAACTGGATTGGCCATACAGCTACCATGGTTGAGAAACGGTTGCTTGTTTATATTAGCAAAGGTGAAGTAGCGTGCTTTCACTATGTTTATAATTGGGTTTCATAACAAGTCTTCCTTTCTAGCTTGATTTTGTTTTAATTTTTAATACATATGATTGAAAGGAATGCTATGATTTAAAGAAAAAAAGCGATAAGAAAAATGATATGATTGAAAGGAATGCTATTTTGTGAAAGGTTTTTCCCCCGTTGTTTAGTTAAAGTTGAGAAATAAAGACAACTAATTCTTAAGTGTAGGTTTCTTATCAGAACAAACTATCCTGCAATTTCTCATGCTCCAGACCAACCTAATTACTTAATTGGGGAACAATGAATTAATTGTTACTTTCATGCAAGTCCAATGTAACTCAGAAGACCCATCATCTCCACAGTGGCAAAGTCAGCATGGGTCATTGGTTGTTTTTTACTCCAATAACTCCAAAAAGCCTTTGTATATTATCTTTGACCCCTAAGGAAAACTAAATTATAACATCGTCCTTCTACTTCTTCTATTTTCTTTAATCATGCGTCTTCCTTTTCTCTCCTCTTGTATGAAATACTTTAGCTGAAACGCCTTGGCAGTTTTCAACATTATTTCACAGTATCATGCATCAACTCTCGACAAGCCTCTACAAATAATAGTAGTTGTCAAAGTATGTTAGCATATATAAATTTTCGGCATATGTTGACAGAAATTGACAGATGTCTACTAAGTGCTCGACGAAATGACCAATGATTGATATTATGACCACATTATTTAAAAATCCTGGCTTTGCCACTGCATCCCCAGAAAATCATTCCACACGGGGTCTTCCCATGAAATGTACTTGTGAAGGCAGACCATTCTTTCCATACCCTTTGAAGATAATTTAAGTGCCTATTTTCTTGCACTAGCCATTCGTGGTTTTCCGTATTAAGTGATAATATTACTACGTTGTGTCCGTAAGCATTTTGAATGCTTGAATTATTTGGTGTCACAAACCTCTACTGTCAACTAACTGGCCCCATGACTACCTGGAATCTTTTGAACGAAAGGACAAGGAGATACAAATTATCAATAGAAATCTAATCAGTGTTCAAAGTCCGCTGATTCTTTTTTTTTGTTTTCTTTCCTCCTTGCCCTTTCGTTTTTTTGTTTTGGGTTTATTTATGTGCAATCGACATGAATACTTGTCTTGACTTTCATAGGAGGTGAAGTTCCAATAATGGGTGATTTATGGGTTTTGAAGGGTCTAATCGAAGAAGGTTAGCAGTTTATCCCCTTTTTTATGGTAGCTTACTATTTTGTCATGGCTTATCCTTTTGGTTTTACTTGGCTCTCATTTATTTATTTTTTTTTTTTTAAATTTCTCTATTTTGTCGCATTATTTTATTACATTTTATGTTTCCTCTCTTGATAACTTGTGTGTTCCCTCTTAGAGCAGTTGTCAAAGTGATGAGTATTCTCTCTCTAATGCCATCCAAATTACAATTAGCATTTTGCTGCATCTGTTTGCGCCTGGCCAAATTTAGTTTTAGCCACCCAAAGATACAATCATCTTAGTTTTGTTTGTCTTCCAAATGGTACAACCGTTCCTCTATTTTCTTAGCTCGGAGGCAATATTGACCTTGTGTGCACCTGCACATGTGTTGGGGCTATCATTTTTCATCTCTTTTGTTATTTTAGCTCGACATTTCTTCTTATCCATTGTTTTACTCAGATTCATTAGTTTAACATTCAAACATTTCGATTCAAAACTCATTATATATGTGTTTGTGTGTGTGTGTGTGTGTATTATTACTTGTTTTTCAGTTGTTCAACTAAATTTTTTGATTCCTCTTTGTTGTGGAAGGTAGAGAATGAAACACCTGGGTGGACCCAACTGAAGCTTCCAGGACAAGCTCCTTCTGCTCGTTGGGGCCATACTATTACATCTGGAGGGCACTATGTAATTGACATATCCATATTTTTTTTTTTTTTTTAGTATCTTCAGTATAGTTTCTTCATGGACGACTTCTACTTGATTACAATTTAATATATTTATGTATGGACAACCTAGTTAGGGTAGATAGCCTTGGTAACAGCATAAGGATTGTTCAAACCTTGATTGTTAAGTCACACACATGTGATCTCAGGTTGGCATGTGTGATCATATGAGAGATTTTTCAGTGTGATCGGTACACAGGATGGTACATCACGTGTCATTATACGAGTGGTGAGATATGTGTGCTAAAAAGTTAATAACTTAAAAAAAAAAAAAATTTCCCACCACTTCTATTAAAACACGTGGTGTACCACTTATGTTTCCATCACAATTAAAATTTTCTCGTGATTATATAAGCTCTTTTTTTTTTTTTTCACGGGGATAGATTTCCCTACTAGAAAAAGTAATATCAAACTTTTCCTTAAGTAGCATATTTCATTTCTTGGCTACTGTGTTGCATACTTGAAAAAATAAGTACTCCAGTCCTGTATTGTAGGGTTCTTGATTACCAAAATCATATTTATATTGATGATTATTGGAAATTATTATATCATGTTATTTGTTTGTTTTTCTTTGTCGTTCAATCTTCACAATATTTTCTTGATGTCCTTTTGAAGCCGTTGCTCTTTGGCGGCCATGGAACTGGTGGTGGTTGAGTCGTTATGACATTTATAACAATGACTGCATTGTTCTGGACATGGGTAATGCTGCCTTTTCCGTTGGACTATTGGATGAACTTTGCTGAATGCGCCTTGATAGTATTGTAACTATTTATATTTACAATGTTAATACTCTCATTTAGTATTTATGTAGTAAACAATACAGAAACCATAGGCCTACCATTCAATAGACCATAGTTGTCAGATACAGGTACGATTCGAGTTCACAGTTCGGTTAAGATACGGGATTTGGTAGTAACATGAAGTATCATTCGTCAAAAAGTAGGCATAGATAGTACGGTTTTCAGTTCGATTCGTTTTAAATTTGTTAAAAAATGTAAATTAGTTTGTATATAAAAATATTGATAATAATACATTTATAATTATATTTTATAATATTACTTATTATGAGCAATCATTTTTATTTTGTAGCGTTGATGATT